AACTTGCCATGTGGTGGCCGTCTTGCCGAAGGAAGGCATGCTTTGTCCGAACTTCTTGCAGGCAGATCTTGAGTGGCAGGGACCTCTCAGACGGTGATGCACATTCCAGGCAGGGTGTTCCAGACAATCGCGTGACAGGGAGGTGTTTCCGGATCACTGGCGGTCTGGACTACCTCGGCAAAGCAACTGTCTGGCACCGCGGCAAGGTTCGAACGTATGCATGCATGAACGTATGCATGCATGATCATGCATGGGTAAATGCAAGCCTTTGTGGAAGGGATTGCGGAGGCTTGGTTGGAGCCGCGCTCTGGTCTCGGGGTACAACTTGGATTTTGACATCGGTGCCTTTCGTGCTGAAGCCAATGATTGCTGGGCTGAGATTGCTCAATCAACCGGTCCATCTTCGTGAGGTAGGTGGTGTTGCCCACGTAAGCACAGAACCTGTAGCACGATGCTGCCAGTAAAACCGCATGGGGGAGAAAAACCTTGCATCCTTAAGGGCAGTCCTACAAGACCGTCAGCGACACTTTGCTCTTGGCCACCGGAAATGTGAACGATAGAGAGCTCTTGCGGGTGGCTTGCTGACTTTGGTCGTTCTGGTCTCCTGTGGGTTCAAGCAATGTGGATGAATGGATGACAGGAGATAGTCAGGAGATGGCTGTGTCAGTCGTATAACAGCCAACATGGTTTCGATATTTCCGCCTGATCTGCTAAGCCGTGCACCCACAGCTCGCATGTTGATCTCACGCCATCCTATTCCCATGCACATATCCACAGACTTGAAGAACAATCTGCGATTTGATATGCTGCCGATACTGCAGTAGCCCCGACGATGTTCAGTCGGCCTGTTGCCTGAGCCACGGCCTCGGTCGCGGGAAGTTGTCTTGCTTTGCCGTAGCTTAGCGCTTTGGGGGATCGCGGATGGGGTGCTCTTTCGTGCGTCTCTGGAGGGAGCAACGTGTAATGGCGGCGGGGTTGTGGCCTCAGCCGAAACAGCATGTTGCGAGCTGCAAGGGTTTGCGATATCCTGTCGAGGATGGATCTCGTGCCCGTGCTGGTCTTCGAGGACGGAGTGCCACTCACACTACGCGAAAAGCTCAAGGGTTCGACACCAGTTGATAAGCAAGAACACCTCGAGTGATGCATTACCCTCCCTCCCTCCCGCGCTGGCTCACGCGCGCCCAAAGTCACTCACAACTTGAAGAGCTGTCGAAGATCATAGAAGCATCCTTCCAACTTATGTAGAAAATGAAGTGTCCTGCACCCTCAGCGTCAAGCGGCGTGCAGGAGCCAGCAAAGGTGCCCCGCCGGACCAGCAAGAAGCTGCTTCAAGGCCTTCAGTGCCGCTGCTTCTGTCGTGCAATGACAGTCGTTGCTCGCAGGACTGAGAAGATACCAGGACAGCTTTCCGCAGGCCCGATACCTGCTGAAGCCGCGTTGTGGAACGTGTCATAGCACGGGGAGTTCGGACGAGCTGCTCGTGTCGCCATCTGTCATTCTTGAAAACCGGTACGGTAGTCCTGTTTTTCCTGTATCTCGTCGTAAAGCTACTCTGAGCATGCCCTCGACGTGCAGTGTGCGTGGCACCGCGACAGAATTGAGTTCCAGAGACGAAGCTGCATGTAAGCTCGGCGAGGTCGCCGTTCTTAATGGCTTGGCTGTGTCAGGGATCTGAAGAAAGGGCATGAGGAGTTTTTGACAGCTTGATGCTCTAAGGCTGCGCTCTTGAACTCCTGTGTGTCTGTGATATTCGGAGGCGAGCAACTTTCTGCTATGGCTGCTGTGTCTGCGACTGAGACTGGGCAATGTGCGTGCGGCGCTGCAAGAAGCTGCTCTTTGAATGCAGGCCTTCTGGTGATTTCCTCGGCGCCTTTCAATGCCTTCGACGAGGCTACAGTAGCCTTGGCCCTCAGAGAGCGAGCCTCGCTGCCTTCGCTTTCGGGCTTTGGCCAGGCCATGCTTGGCTTGGGTCACGGCGCTGCCACGTGCCTCGGCTCTGTGCGATGCTTCAGGGTCTCGTGTTGTCAGGTCTTCAGCATTCGCTGTCGCAGACTGGCAGATTCTGATGTCAATTGGCACCCCCCGCACAAGGCTCTGTGTGATGGCGGTGGTCTTCGCATGTGGACCTCGTTTAGGCCACGGACTTTGGCTGTGTATTTGTTCTGGTGGTAGTCTGCTAAACATGCCTGCGGTGTAGTGACGGCCCTGGGAAGGTCTAGGTGACTTCCGGCACTTCCTGACAGTGTTAGCGCTGCTGCTGTGGTCATGAGCTCGGCTAGCAGGTCGTGTTAGGTTCTGCCGTTTCAGATTCCCAGGCCCCGTAGCGAGCAGCGGTGGTGCCGAGCAATGTTGAAGGCGGAAGATAAGACCGTCAGCAAAACACTCAGCAGGGATGCGGGCCCTGTCAGGCCGGCCAGTCCCCGGCTGAGGTGCTGGCACCACGTGCAGCACTAGGCCTGGTGGCCTAGCCTGTTTTCCGAAGTGAGCTGAAGCTTACGGCAGCGTGCCTTGCAGGTTTCGTGTTGCTGGATGATCTGCTGCGTGTTGTGCTCCGGTACTTCGAGGGCGAGCCCGCAGAGGCAAAACGGGGCATTTTGTCGTTGGATGTTTTGCTTCCATGCAGCCGTTATCAACCCGCCGAACTTCTGGGGCCTTCCTCTCGGGGCTCAGAATCGAAGTCATCAGCGGGCAGTTTGCTTTGTCCCCTCTTGGTCTTTGACCTGAACTGATGGGAGCAGCTTTTAACACCACAGCTTTGTAGGTCGTCGCAGATGCGAAAAAAGCCCCCTTTGGAGCAATTTTTGTTGTTGGGACCGGAGGCCTGGCCCTTTGCACTCACGAGCCGCGGCCTCTACCAGCTCTGGAGCCAAGACGAAGAGCAGCGAGCTGAGAGCTTTTTCGAAGCCCGCTTGTCTTTTTTGTTTTACGAGCTTCTGCTTCTTCTCTTTCTCTTTACTTCTCTTCCCTTTCTTCTCTTTCTGAGGTGGTGGGAGGCTTGCTACCGAGGCGCTGCTTGGCACAGGCGGGGCGGCAGCCTTCGTCTTCGTCTCCTCACGGCCGGTCCCATGTCTTTCGGAGGCTTCCTGTTAGACTCGCACCGCCGAGCATCAATCGGCTGATGAAGGAGGCGGTCACACCAGAGCACTTGATGTCACGGGCAGAGGACACTGTTCATGTCAGTCCTTCTGGCTTAGCTGAAGGCCATGCTTCTGGCCTCCATGATGGCGGAGACATTCGGGTCTGCCTGGCTATTGGCTTGTTGACGACGAATCCGTACGAACTCCCTTCGAAAACGCGTCTTTCGTCGGGCTAGATTGAGCAATGAGGTGGCCTTCCTACCCAACTTTGTGGGTCCGGAGTCCATGTTCCACCCTGCAGTCATGGATTCGCACTCGTAGTGGGGGACAAGGCATGCTACAACTCCTTTCTAGCAAAGTCAATCGTCGAAGGTACGAATGTGTAAGCTAGGGAACATCGAAGGTGCTTCCGCTGTTTGACAAATGGAGAGGACAAAGGATCCGTGGCCTTTCGGCATGAACCTTTCCCCCAACCTAGTTGTTGCCAGTGGACTTGAAGGCTTCCCAGTGCGAAGCATTTTCATGACTCATGTGAAGATTTGAGCTTTCTTGGCCATCCGCAAGGGATGAAGATGGGACCCACACTTGTTTATCCACTGGATGCACTTATCGTAAGGAATGGGGCCAGCAACATACTCCAGATGTGCGCCCGGTCGCCGGTCTCGTGGCCCGCGTTCCGGTTTGATGCGGTCGGTGCGGTCCACGAGCATGCAGTCGCGGGCTGTGCACTTTCTCGCGACCGCATGCAAACGCGGCCGTGGCCGTGCCTTCCTTTAGGGCCCCACTGTAGGGTCTGCGTTTTGAAAGAGAGGTTTGCCAAACTGTCTCTCCTTCTTACGGCTGGTTGAAAACATCCTCGTTAAGGCTCAGACCCTCCTTCGAGGGCTTTGGGGTTTGCTCGGAAACAACATCTTCGTTTAGGGGTTGGGGCCGGGGTTTGCAAGCCACAGTTTTCTTTCACGATTTAGATTTAGCTTTTCGGGTGTGGGGTTTGCCAAGCAACATCTCCTCTCGCCAACATTTCATGATAGGGTTTCGAATCTCGCCTTGCCACAGCTCTTTAGACTTTTTCAGGGTTTGTGATTGCAACCAACGGCTTTTTTGGGGTATGGGTATGGGTTTGGCAACCACCATCCCTTTTAGGGTTTGGGGTTTACCAGTTTACCAGTTTACCAGTCAGCTCTTGTTTGGGTTTGTGCTTTTCCATCTTTCGCCGGTCCTTGGCCAGCGGACAGGACACGGCAAAAGAGCACCTGTACTATGCCCAGAATCGCAAGTAAGGGCGGCGGAACAAGGGATATTATATGGAAGCATGAAGGAAGCTACAAGTATTCGAAAACGGGTGGCCAAATTGTCAGTCCGCAAAGGAACCCCTGCAAGGTTTTTGGCTCAGTTGTGGATGTCTTGCTGCCAGGATGATGGTGCTGCTTCAGAATTCCAGCACCGCTGCATCTTGGGCAGCTGCGCCCTGCATAGCCGAATCCCCAGTCAGAGGTTGCTTTCCTGCGGTTCCTGAGATCCTCGAAGCCTTCGCCTCAGGCCGTGATGACCCAAAAAAGCCCGAACCAATACGAGTAAAGCACATCCAGTGTCACCAGCCATCTCTGCATATTACATCACGGACTATGTCCAAAACCTGCCACCCCAAGTGTCAGTGTCATGAGATCGAAGATGAGTCGAGGTCCTATGAAACAGACGATTCATCCCGACCTCACGCCCATGCCAGTAGGGTCACAGCAGCTCACGACCCTGCGTGAAACCTTATATCCAACAGTACCTCGCAAGGCTGCATTCCATTTACTCAGGCTTCAACCCTCCTGGTGGTCTCATGCTCACCGTGGCTGCCAAGGCAGGGTTCTTTGTGTCAGCTCCAAATCGCAATCGATGTGGGCTTTCAGGCAGTCTGACCTAGTGCTCGTCGAGATGTCGAGACTCCTCAGCCTCGTGAGCAAGTTCGCCGTCTATGTGCAGGCGCTTGGAGAGAGAGAGGGCGCCTGAAGTGTCCCCGAAGTCTTCTTCCTCCGCTTTGAAACTGCTCAGACTTTGCTTCTCCTCCTGTCCCTGGTGGCTCAGCCGCAGTCCCCGCTGCGCTGCAGTCTACACCAGGAGCCTCTCTTTGAGCTGCACCACAAGAAAAGCGAAGCGCCGTAGGGCAGAAAGTCTCAGGACGCAGAGGGGCTGACAGGCGCGTTTTTCTATCTGGAGACGGCGTCTCTGGTGGTTCGGGCTCTTGGACACCGATGGTCAGGGCGACAGGGCGACACTTGAGCAGAGCTGAGGTCCTGTGCACCTTGGTCACGTATCAACTCCTAGTCGGGGCCTCGGAGCCCGGAGCCCTTCCGACGCAGCTCTCGTTTCCCACTCCGCTGGCTGGCCTCCTGCAAGGCTGTGGTGGCTCGGTGCCGTGCCGCCTCGCCTCTCTATGCAGTGCCCGCGGAGGAGCACCATGCAAGACGAAGTCGGGAGGAGCAGGGGATGCAGAGGAGGCACGACCACATCACAGGAGGTGGTGACCGAGCACGCCAGCCATCGCAGCAAGCGAGATGCTTGGTTCATGCGGTGCAGCAGAGCCAAATTCAGCTGAACGGAATCGATGCTTGCCTGCTGCTTTGGGTTCAAGAGCTGAGATGACAAATGAAACCGACCCACATCCCAGACCACCTTCAACAACGCTCCAAGAGCGTCTTCCACACACGTCAGACCCCACGCTTTACTCCACCTGATTGCTTAGCTTGGCTCTCGCACGGACGTTGCTGCGACGAGGTGCCGTGGTCGCTGAAGTGTCGGCTTCATGTCACTCTGCTTCATCTCTCCGAAACCCCGCAGTACTGTGACATTCTCTTGGTTCAGATGGCATCTGGTCGGACTCTGGTCTTCGGTGGCCGCGGCTTTGTGGGCGCGGCGACTGGGCGCAAGTTCCTCTTTGTGCCACTTCCACAGCAGTGACGGCGTTGTGTCAGTGTGGAATCCAGGCGATCTGCAAGGAGCTCGCCAAAAGAGGCGCGGTGTGACGGTACGCAAGGTGCGGCATTGCTGAGAGCCTCGTATCGTGCGGATTTCCGCGCAGGACTGACTCCGGTGCTAAGTCTGAGCCGCTCTCAGCCAGCGCAATCCGAGGGCTCCACAATTCAGGCTGGGGACAGGGGACCTGGACTTCAACTTCTCTACTCCTTCACAATTCTTTCGGCTTTCTGCCAGGAAGTGGGTGGCGTTGATGCTCTGAAGCCAGAGACATTCGAGTCTCTTCTTCCAGATGCACGGGCTGTCGTGATGCTCAGCAGCAAATGGTCAGATGTCGGGCTTGCAAGCAGAGATGAAACAGACGTCCAGGATAGCCATCGGCGAGCCCCCATGGGTGACGGACAAAGAGCGTGCGATGAGGTGCAACGGCTTCAGTCGCCTCGGGCCGGTGGCAAATCCTGTAATCTCTTGAAGGTCGAATGGAACGACCAACATCACCATTATGCAGACGGCTGCGAAGCACAAGGACAAACCCGTTGTCATGCTTCCGTTGACCGGGATCACATCACGGAAAACAACAGGTCCCTCGTGTGGTGCTCGTCAACGCCACGATGCCAAGCTGGGGTGTCATAGTCGCTTGGCTGAAACAGATCGGAGGCGGTCTTCACCTCTGTGAGCAATGATCATGCAAGTCTCCATAGCTTCTTAGTGTCCTGGAAAGCAGAACCCTTCGCCAGGCTGGATACCGTGAGGGAAAGTTGGCCGCGGAGCGAGAGGCCTTAAGCTATCCAGCGGGCAGCTCAGCCGACTTCACATGAACTCTGATTTGCTTCGGGCTTAGCAATGGAGGCGAGCCCCATGTTTCCACAGCTCTACTTGTAGAAGCTCTGTTTGGGTTGACCATCAAGGCTTAACAGAGTTTCGGGTTTTCGTTCCACAGTTCAACATGGAGGCTTCGGGGCTCAGGGCTTACAGGTCATCGTCGACGTCGTCCCGGGACTACTCAAGACTTCATGTGGATGATAAACTTGAATCACTGCATGAGAGATGCCTGAATCTCGAAGAGAGTCTCGTCGTGAAGCTTTCGCGTTGATAAGTTCTTGCTGTGGAAATTCCTTTAGATGAAGCCCGAACAGGGCTTGGAAAAGAAACCATGCCTTTCCTGCTGCCGTTGTTTGTGTATCAATTTGCGGTTTCTGGGCTGGAAAGTTTCGGGAGCTTATGAATGTTACGATGCCTGCCAAAAAGTTATGCAAAGCACTCTTTGTTTCACGCATCTCGGTTCTGCGGAGTATGGCTAGGCTGCGGCTTTGGGTGGAGCTGCTGGGGTTGAATGGTCACGGTCAATTGCATGCTGAGCCATGGCTGGGGAAGATGTCTCGCCTCTCAGGAGAAGTGCGACTCTCCTTGCAGCGTCCTCGTGCCGGGCTTGGGCAAGTCTTTATCCCTTCCGTTCTCGGCAAAGCCCTTTCATGAGGTCCCCTCGCCCCCCCATCCAGCCCGCTTGAAGCCAAGCGCACGTGCATTTTCAGGGTGACCTTGGAAAGCTGCACACGGGATGCCACCAGCTCGCGGTTGCCAGGGATGTAAGCGTAGGTTGAGGCTTACTTCGCTCTTCATGGGAGTTCCCGACGGATGCCGAAGGTCCTGGATTCCCAAACCACATTGGAATCAGTAGAATCGTAGGTGCTGTGATTACTTCGGTAGAGGAAGAGTAGCACCAGCAAGCTGCCCTGAGCGACTCTGAGGTGATCAAGCCGGGAGCCATCTCCGGCACGCGCCAGGAGGGTTGCTTTCAAGTGCCGTTGCGGCCTTGGGAGCTCCCCTGTCCTCCATCTCATCCTTGCGGCTCGTTTCATGAAATGTGAGGTTGTGGCTGCTGCTGGAACCAATGCGCTTGGTCATGTCGGCCTTGTCAGGGCTCCGCCCTCAATCGACACGCGCATCGAGTCTCTCCGGGGAGCAACGGGGTTGGCGCACATTTGAGGCCCTGTGAGGCCATCGAGAGATGCTTCCCCAGCCTGTTTGGAGGCCGAGAGAGGGCTGCAACAATCTCGTGAACAATCTGCTGCTGCTTGGCAGTTGCAACACCCCCCTGAAGGCGTGTTGCGGCCGCCGGTGCGGGTGGAGGCGCACGCCACCTCGCTGGCTGTTGGAACCACACGGCTTGTGCGCATACTGTATGGTTATGGAAGGAAATTGCGATGGCAGCAGCGGATGTTGTTGAGGACTCCTCGTTGCTTTCGACTCTTTCTCTTTCTCTTGCTCTCTCGCTTTCCCTTCCTCTTCCTCTTTCCCTTTTTCTTTCGCCCTCTTTCGTGGAGACGCCGCATGTGTTAACCTGTGCCGAATCAGCCGAGCCACGTCAGACGCTGTGGTCTGATGGCCATATCGCATCGCCACTGGCGCGGAGGACACGTCTTTCAAGGGCATCCGCGAGATCGGCACGAAGGAGCTCGTTGGTTATACGAGCTTCTGGGTGGCATGAGGACTGCTTCTGTCTTGCTTCGAAGCTGCCTCCTACTCAGGTGCCGGCTCCCAGAAGAAAGACTGAAGCCCAGTGCAAAGCTGGAAGTGAGCGGATGATCGGCTCCCACCAAAAAGCGGAGTCGTGAAAATGACAGTTGGGCTTTTCCAGGGCACTCGAAGAGAAGGCCTTGCCTCGGCGTTTGCCAATTTTCGATTCGCGGCAACAGACCGCGTCTGTACTCCAACAAATGGCAAAGGCGCTCTTCTCTTGCGCTGCTTCTTGATGCCGAAGGTTCTGAGACTTACAGTGAGGTCACCTCTGGATGCTCTGCACACATCTCGTCTTACCATCCCCGTGCCTCGCTGCAGGCCCCTGTACTTGGGAGCTACATTGGGGTCTTTCGCTCCGACGCAGCTCTGCGCTTGGGAGGACCACCCTGCGCTGTCATGCATAGACCGTCCGAAAGCTCATGTGGCTGGAACCGTTGTTTCTCGATGCTCCATGGCTCGAAACAGCCCTAGGCCGCTGAGTAAGATGAGGCTATCAAAAGCCCCAGTGCCAGATGCCGAACACGCAGCAGCCCAGCATTAAGCACTCGAGAAGTGTTGCCTAAGTCGCGGATTGCTTATTCGTTTCTCCGCCGTGTGGGCGCTTGACTGAGCATTGCCCCTCGCTTGAAGTTGGTGCCTCTCTCGATGAGCGTCTTTGCTGCACCTGCCTCAGGGCCATGTCAAACTGCTTGAAGGGCATCGGTACCTTTTGCAGCCGTGGCAAGAAGGAGGAGGTGTCGTCGGAGCGCACAGTGCAGAGAGCTTTGCCCCAAAGCCTTGCTAGACAGGCCCAGCCCCTCGCTGACCAGGCCTTCGCAAGGATAGTAGGAGATTCCATGTTTTGTACGGCTGTTGTGGTGGCTCGGTCAGTGCATGCCTTTGCATGCAGAGCATGCTCGCACCGTTCCAGGCCGCTTCGACCGCCTCTGCCAAGCCCGGTCCTCACGGATGGTTCGCTGACAGCATCTGCCCTAATGTCATGAGTCATGGTACAATTGGATGTGGCAGCGTTCGCACTCTTTTGGGCCATGAAGAAGAACCGGCCTGAAAGTTTCGGCCCGCTGTAGTGGCGACCGGGATGTACAGCGAGATGCGAAGCTCTGGGCAAAGGATGGGGGCTGGATAATTGCGAAGAGTGGTCGGGCTGTTGGCAAGTTGGGCATGTTGCAGAACAGAGCGGCTTTCGGCCTATCGCCAAAGGCTGTGCAATAGCGGACCAAGATGGATTGCATCTCATGTGTTCGTCAAAGTTGTTTGTGAACTGTGTCGTAAGCGTGTGCATCATGAGACAAGATTCTTGCATCGCTTGCCCCGACCGCGCAGGCAAGCACCCTTTCAGGTGGGGCTTCCATTGCGGGTCATGACATGCGTGTGGGCTTTCTTCGTTTACTCCGAGACTGGGGAGAGACAGGTAACCACGTCGGATGGTACACAGGCCAAGCAAACGCCCAAGACGGCGGAGGCCGCAATAAGATCAGGGTTGCTTGTTCACCTCACGTATGCTCCTCCTTGTCAGGCTCCGGCCTCCACGAAAGCACCAGAGGCCACGGCCCCCACTGGGCCCCCACCCCCCCCCCCGGTGGCTGGCGGCTGGCCTCCTCTTCTCTGAGCATCTGAAGGTCGCGGTCTGCGAGAAGGCGAAGCAGGGGGAGACCAAGCCCGGCGGCCCCGGCGGCACGCCCGCTCCCGCGGCTCCCGCGGCGGCCTGCGGCCCGGAGACCGGAGGTTCTGGGAGCTTTGAGTGACTGTCGATTCTTTCCGGAGGCAGCTGCTCCGAAGGCCAGGGGGGGCCCAGAGGGGCCGAGGGGCCGAGGTTGCGGACTCCGGGTTATGGCTTATGCTCCCTGCGAGGCTGCCTCCAGCCAGGCCAGCTTGCTCTTGTGTGAGCATGCCCGAATGTCCACGAACTTCTTAGCGTAAGGCTCAGAAGCCCGAGAGACGCCGGGCACCGGATGGCCGAGCGTACACCTACTCCGACTTTGTCAAGTGCCCCCGCCATGCCCGCCACGCTCGTTCTGCTCCGGTCGAAGCTGCCACAGCTCACGGTCGTGTCTGCACGAGGTATTTCGGCAAGAAGCAGGGTGAGATGCAGTGGACGTATGCTCGCAGAGTCTAGACCTCTAGACACCCGGACTCCATCACCGGGTTTCTGCAGCACTTTAGTCATCCGCAGTTGAGCAAACTGGAGCCGTCGTCAGCTTGGTTGATTCTCTTCGGGTATGCAGCTGGGGTTCAGAGTTTGTTCATTTTCGGGCCTTGAAGGCCGAGAACGCGGGTGGCCTAAGTTTCGTCAAATGCGTCTATGTTTCTGTTGGTGTTCCCTGGTAGCTCCGGCAAGATTGCCGTAGTATGCAAGGGAAGGGTCCGCTCGTGAGCGGTTCCACTGCAACTTGATTTCAATGTGCAAACACATTTTGCCAGCCTTGCCTGATGGAAGAAGTGCTGTCGCCAGATGGTAGTGATAGACTCATGACTCATGATATCGGCAGCTGCGTCCATTTTCGAGACATGAACGGGCTCATCTTCATCAGATGGCTTTTCTCCATCAGCGAACTTTTGACGATGGCGGGCTTGCCACAGTTTGATTGGCCATCATGGTGTCCTGTCCCCGCACTGAAAGACTGTTGAACAGCAACGTGCTCGAGAATGCAGGGCACAGGCAGGTTCAACAGTTCGCATTTCGAATAGGGGCACTCATTGTTTGGCTGCAGTGGAGTCTATGGACAGCTGCATTGATACGGAGAAGCTCACAAAAGTCTGATGCCAAGTCACGTGCAACCTTCGGACTTTGGCGACCAAGCAGGGCGATTTTCGACGAAGACGCTGCTCGTTGTCCTTGCAGCAGAAGCTGATGTTACGAGGGTTCACAGGCCATTCCGGATATCCCCTTCGTCTGTTTCTGTCTTATCGAGGACCTTCGAAATGCGGTTGGAGCTCGCCAGCGTGTCTTTGCGGCAGACATCTGAAGCAGAGCTGGCTGGGCTGTTCTTTCTCTTCTTTTCTGTTGTTCTGCTTGAGCCGTTGCCGGCATGGTCGCATACTCTACAAGTTTTATGAGCACCTGCTACCTGCTACTGTAGGCTTTGTGCTGCGTCGTTGCGGAGAGATGTTGGTTTCCAGAGAGGCCTGCGGCCAGTTGAAAGTGCAGAAAGCTTCTCAGACTCGTAGACCCGTTGTAGGAAAATCCGGCAAAGCAGCAGAGAACGGCAAGTTTGAGTTTGAAGCGGCCTATACAGCTTGCTGCCAGGCTCACCTCTTGTCGCACCTCGAGGCACTACATGTTCGGATTGAGGAGGCGCCGGGCCTTCGCCAGAAATCTGTGCTGGGATATAGGATAATCGGACCCTTGCAGCAGGTGGAAAAACGGAGGAACGGAGGAAGTTCCGCCCAGGAGCTCCGGGCCTTTGGTTGCGCAGAAGTCTCTGCTTTGACCTGCAGTGTCGGGTGCCCGGAAGGGCTCGCAACGACTCGCCCTCCCCGGTCTGCTCGCCACAGGCCCGGAACAGGGTCTGCTTGGAGGGTCGGGTTTGGTGGAGTCTCCGTCTTGAGCGCCCCTAAATCAGAGGTGGAGAACGGTCACGGCCACCAGGCTAGATTCAGAAAACCAAGGAAAACAGAACTAAAACCAGGAAAATATACAAAAAAAAACCAGAAAAATAGACAAAATAAATACTCGCTCCCTAAATTTTCGTACAGGCCTTTGGACCAGCCTCTTGTGCGTCTTTGCTGTGAGTGCGGGGGCGTCAGATGCCACGTGCCAGGGTACACAGGCTAGGATGGCGTCTCACACTTGTTAGAATATCTCGGCTCACTCAGATTGGACCATCCTCGGATGGCGAAAACTCATTGTTGCTCCAGGCGCGGGGCAGTGGCGATTCTTTGTTGCATCTCGGATGTAACTTGTCCGATATTTTGCTCTGTGGCATTCTTGAAGTGCTGATGACAGGAGCCGTGCTGGTTTGAGTGTGAGTGTGTGTGTGTGTGTGTGCGTGTGTATCGCGCGTGTCAGAGCTTCATGGTATCTGCCGCAGGCACTACTTTGTGTCCTGCTGCTCGCACGCTTGGCGTACAGCTGGTGACCGCGTTGCAAGAGCGATAAGGTTGCCTACAACCGTAACCGTTGCAGCATGCAGCGGCTCCTGACGAGTGAAGAGTTCAGGTACCAGGTCTATCTGCGCAAGATGCGCGGTTTCCGGACAGCGGAGCACTCCGAAGAGTTCGAGGCTACATGTCTAGCTTTGCATGCCTTCGCGACGGGATTCTCACTCCAAGACTTTTGTGGAGGTCCGAGACCTGCGTCACCGGACGTGCTCTTTGCACAGGCAGCTCGCAGAAACGTCAGGAGCTGAGAATCTGCAAATTATGACAACCTTTTGAGATCCCTGACGATTTGCTGCGGGCGCAGCCGCAGGCAAAACATGATTCTCCAGCTCGAGGACTCTGCACGAGATCACAGCTTGGCTACGCTGTGTTGACCTTCGCCTTCTTCTGGTCGGATGCACGAGCAACCCAACGCTACACAGCGGTCCACGTTTGGCTCGGACCATGTCTCACGCAGTCTGCTAAGACAGCCTAGTGAGAGAGAGACCGTTTCTTGGTGGATGCTTAGGCTAGGCTCCCCAATCCCCAGCACCTCCAGCGACCGTGCTTCGTTTCGCTGTTGCAAGCACGCGGCTCTTACTTGATGTCTGCTGCCGTGCTCTTTGCTGGCCAGACACCTGTGGCTTGGGTGGCATGGCGGCCCCTGAACAAGAAAGCACGAGCTGGCTCGCTGTGGCCGGGACGGCGTTCGGCCCCGCCAATCAATGTCCACACCTCGATGCTAAGTACCGGTCTCAGCATGCAAGCGCAGCGAACATCTGCACCGGTACGACAATGAGTTGTGCTACCTACCCAAGTTGATTTCAATGTTGGCAGAGGCCGCAGGGGATTGAATTGCAAGATACTGCAAGTCAGACTATCCAGTAACACGTCAAGGACTGGGCAGGTGCCCACGACGAGCAGCACTACCATCTCCTGAGATGTTTCTGGTTCCCACCGTGGCCGTGGCAGTGCCGCAGCTGCAAGCAGTAGACGTACAAGGGCTGATCAGGTCTCGCGAACCTTGGCGGTTGCCTGTTATCAGACCATTACGTGGAGAGGTTCGACATTCCGTTGGGCTCTTTTGCAGCTCAAGTCCTGCAGTTGCTCTGGATGAGCAAGACAAATTCACAACGCATGCTCTCCTGTCCTCGTTTCATGTCTTTCCGCATCTGTGCGCGACGCAGTATAGCGTGGCTGAAAAGGCTCGCTTTCAGTTTGTTCAAAGGCAGAAGTGTTTTGTTGGTCAGGCCGAGCCTCGACTTTTGGCAGGTCCTTTGATCCTTTTCCTTGCAGGGGGTGCTACGACGGCTCAGGTGGCAGCGCTTGCACTGATGCAGCTGCGGTCCGATGAGTCCACTGTCGCTTGACTGCATCTTGCAGTCGTAGCCATGCGAAGTCTGCCAGCACCGGGCTTTTCAGAGGTATCAAAAAGGCAGCTACAGCAACCATGCGCCCCTGCTAGAGATTGGCGAGCGAAGCTTGGCAACTCGCTTCGGTTTCATGTTATATCGTTATCACCACAAGCGCATGCCCTTGTGCCTTGTGCCCTGTCTCCGTGAGCCTATGCCTGTGCCATCAGGACAGTTCCAGGTGGTCGCCCTGCCTGGCAAAGGCCGGGCTTGGCCTTTGAGTGTAATTCGGTTTCCAAGCCGTGGCCTCGATGATCTGACCGCTCCAACAGAAGCGCCCTCTTTCGTCTCGAGAGCCTCCCAGCACTGAGCATGGGATGGCTGTCGAAACAATCTACATCTGTACTTCAACCCTGTTCATGTGTTTACATTGCCTGCCTATCGGCTGTCCTTACTCTGACTGGGCACTCGGCCACGCCTCTGCTCGCGTTTCCAGTGCAGTAGGACCTGGGATGCACTAGTTTTACGTGGCATCGTGCGAGGCCTGGGTGCGGTGGCCCTCTGCCGCTTCCAGCCCGGGGATCTGGTCGCTGAGGAGGTACCGCTGTGGCCCGGCTGGCATTCTGCGAAGAAGATCCTCTTGGCGTGAGCTTGGTGACGAGGCTGCAGCTCACCCAGAGTGGATCGCCCGCGGAGCAGTTCCAGCTACTAAGCCTCGAAGTCTGCGGCAAGCAGCCCAGTGCTGGCCCGTTGCTGGCCGAGGTCTCTTTCAGTGGAGGCCCGGCAGCGTATCCTGAACCTGAGCGATTTCGCTGCCGAGCCATGGCCAGATGTTCCACAATTCAGTCACACCTTTCCTTCCCGGAAGCATCGTGGTCAAGGGTTTTCCGTGGAGACGGTCTGGATGGCAGAATGTGCTGATGTCGATATAGCTTAGTTGTCGTGAGGTTGCAAAGCATGGTTCCGGTCTGAGACGTTGGCCCTTAGGTTTTCGTGAGGTTGCCTCTTATCGATTAATCCTAGATGAAATCCCTGTGTGCACGGTCATGGACAGCGAGAGTCGCCGCGCATCGATGCACTTGGCAAGTGGCGCCGCGCTTGTTTTTTCTAGTCACGATGAGTGTTCGAAATTGGAAACCCTCCTGGAGCTCCGGAAAACGCGATCCAACGCAAATTGCACTGCATTGGGTTCACTTTGGTCTCGACAAGACAAACCCCTCGGTGGACCTGCCGTGACCGCACCCTCCGGTAAACATCGGTAAACGCCAACCACTGTAAACTCACGTTTGTCTCGAACAGTCACTGCGCACGGCCCGCGTAAGACAAGCAACAGGAGGAAGTGTTATAGAAGAGTATATGGAAAGGCGGCAAAGGATTTATGGATGAGTTCATAGGTTTCTAGAAGGGTTGATGGATGGATAACTGGATGCATGGGTGTATAAACAGCTGAACGCATCAACGGATCGATGGAGGGACGGATGGATGGCTTGATGGCTGGATTGCTGGATGCCCGGATGGCCGGATGGCCGGATGGCGGCATAGCTGGATGGCTGGATGGCTGGATGGCTGGATGGCTGGATGGCTGGATGGCTGGATGGCTGGATGGGTGGATGGCTGGCTGGATGACTGGCTGGATGGATGGATGGATGGACGGACGGACGGACGGATGGATGGATGGAGCGGA